AAGCGAGCCGAGTTTACTTTATTTTCTTAAATACAAAAATCATTTTAGGAATTCCTAATACTATCGCGATGGGTCGGACATGACTTTGCAACTAACAACAATAACAAATACTGCAACCATTCTACTAACTCTGAACTACTTTTTGTTCACCTTTGGAGTAAAGAATCTTGTTTTACAAGAACACCTTTTTTGTTACTCTTTACGAAACAGATTCTAAATAAAGCAAATACTAATAGAAGAGAATACTTGAACTGTGAGATCCTTTGTGCTCCCTGAACAAAAAAAAAACAAGCAAGCTCAGAGAGCACCAAGGACCTCAAAGCAAACACTATCAACTTGCAATATATTTCCTGCAATTTTCCATTAAAGCAAATTAAACTTGACAGGGCTGTTCTAGAAACAACAGATATTTGTCTTGATTTAAAAAAAAAAACACACTTGTTTTATCTTTCCAATTTAATAGGTTTGCACATCTTTGGGACATGGATGTATATACAGAATTAAACTACATAAAGCACTATGCACAGAGTAATCCTGCTTAACATGCTCTTGTTTATTTTGAAGCTACTTAGCAGCTGTTACTGCTGAGAAGCAATCAAGTAGTAAACATTAGCTGCAGCACCTCCTTTTTCTTGTTTTATTGCAGAACTTAGAAAAATGTGAAGGGTGCCCAGGAATTTGTCATTTCTGACAGCTATTTTGGGGGCAGGGAGGGAGGACAGAAAGCAACATAGATGGATGGATGGATGGAAAGATAGTTCGATGATAGATGGATGGATGGAAGGAAAGATAGATGATAGATAGATAGATAGATAGATAGATAGATAGATAGATAGATAGATAGATAGATAGATAGATATGGATGGATGGATGGAAAGACAGACAGATAGATGATAGATAGATGGATGGATAGATGGATGATGGATGGAAGGAAAGACAGATAGAAAGATAGATGGTAGATAGATAGTTCAGATCCATCCATAGATAGATGGATGGGTGGGTAGATCAGGTCCATGCCATGCATATTCACCCTGTTTCTGAACCAGAGGCCACTAGAGAAGCAATCATATTCACAGCCCAAAATTGTGTCTAATGAGCCCTATTCTTCCCAATATTTCACTCAGTGAAATATTGAGGAACCCCCATTGGTTCCTTTTGTTTATTCTTTCAAATAGCACTCTGGACTCATGCTCCTTTCACAAGGGGCCTCCTGGGCCTCTTCTCTCATCTGTTCCTCGACATTGGACATCAAGCAGGGTTGTGACTTGCTGGGTTGACTCCTTACTACTGGACCAAAGCATCACTGTGGCACTGTGTGAAATCCCTACTTAGGTTAAACAAGCCCAAGAAGGAAGATGAAGACTGTGCAGATGTTTGTAAAGCAGCCTTATTCAAGGTGCCCTCTAGATTTGAGACATTACAACCTCCATTATTGGCAGATGTAACAGCAGTTATAGTCCAACACAACAGTTATAGTCGGCAATTGTGGCTCCTTTGCGACCTGTGGACTTCAACTCCCATAGTCCTGAGCCAACATGAGAGTTGAAGTCCACAGGTTGTAAAGGGGTCATAGTTGCCCACTCCTAGTCAGTATCAGTTGCCAAAATCAGCTTGAGTAAGCCACCCTCGATAGCAGCAGAAAGAATGAATGAGCGCCCACTTTTTCCACATCACGGTCTGAGTCTTCTACGCAGTGAAGCCCACAAGTGATCGATTGGGAAGCAAGAAAGTAGCACAGCAATGTGCAATCTCCCCTTCCAATCTACCAAGCTGTTGGAAGGGAGTGTAGCCAGAGCAAGAGGCTGGCAAAGCCTTTCTTTCCCCATGCAAATATAGAGTAGAGCAGAGTAGAATAGAATTCTTTATCGGCCAAGTGTGATTGGACACATAAGGAATTTGTCTTTGGTGCAGATGCTCTCAGTGTACATAAAAAGACAAGATACATTCCTCAGGAATCATAAGGTACAACACTTCATGATAGTCATAGTACAAATAAGCAATCAAATCAAATCATAGAGCCAAGGCGGCGCAGTGGTTAAATGCAGCACTGCAGGCTACTGCTAGATCAGCAGGTCAGCGGTTCAAATCTCACCGGCTCAGGGTTGACTC